TCCCTTGTGTAGCAGTGTTCCTAGATAATACTGGTCCTAATATACATCCCTATGTTATAAAGCATATTTGAAAACAATTTATTAAATGTCTGCATAAAATTAAATTTCAATACTAAACTGTATGACTGATATTTAACTAAATTTAGTAAAATACTGGCATACTGAACCTGGTTGCTGCATTCTAATTTTAAAGCTAGTAAAAAAATTATAGAGTTTAAAATTCAACAATACAACAAAGTATACCTAGCCTATCCATCTGATGGAATATCACTGTATATTAAAAGACCAGCCATGTAATACTCACTTATGAGCCGTAAGTGCAGGTTTGCACTAAGGCCAGTCCATACATGAGCATTTACTATAGATTTGTGCATTGCTGTAAAATCAATTACATTGATCTTACTTACTACATACATGTAAATTTTAGTAAGAGCTCATGGTGATGAATATGACTAGCAGAACATGACTAGTATCCTTATAATTTATTATGGCATTCTAACTAATGCATTTTCTTACAGATAATGAGTTTATTAATGACTCTTAAATGATGTAAATTTTATGAATAATTTATTTGGGAAAGCTTTGCTAATAGCTAACCTTCTGCTCAAGATATATATGCATGATGCATGAAGTTTGTACCAACAGTGCATGAATGAGAGAAAGAATGGTTTAGAAAAGAATATGTTCAAGAAATAACTGAAGAACAGAGTAGGCCACACCAATTTTTTTTGTAGCTTCTCGGATTTGCTGCTTCATTTTTTTTGCATTTTGGAAAAAAAAGGCTGAACCCGAAACCACAACAGGTTTTGCTTTCGCACACCTGTAAATATTACTACTATCAGAGGCACATGCTGCCAGAAACCAATCAGAGAGCTTCTTTGTAGTCACGTGCTAGAGGACAACCAATCAGGAAGCATTCTATCTTTCAATACAACATGTTACCTTAGAAGAATTTGTTGTGTACTGGTGTGCGCCACTCTAAACTCTTGAACTAAACTAAACTTGTAGTTTTAAACTATAAGTTTAATTATAGAGTAGTTTATAGAACATGTAGACAGTAGAGCAGATCAATATTTTTTTTGTAAAGCTGAAAGTTTGCATGCCAAAGAAAACAGCAAAATGTCAGTGGAAAGGGACCCGACACAGAAAACATTTATTGTTGTATGGGTTTTTGTTTTTTGGGTACGGGTTGTTTGTCTTTAAAAATTTTACTGGCTTATAAAACTTTGGATTGACATCGTACAAACCAAAAATAACTTTAATAGTAGTAAATGCATTACAAGTTAATTCAGTCAAAAACATTGTTGTTTCTTCTGAGTTGTAGTAATAGATCTAGGGACGGGATTCATTACATAAAACGTGCCATGAAAAGCTGAAAACTTGAATAATCCAGTTATTCTCTATGTTCTGTAAGCCCTACATCTTCACCCCAGACTTTTCGCATTTTTTTTCCTGGAAAAATCCGAGAAGCAACAAATAAAATTGATGTGGCCTTAATACCCTTTGCAACATCACATGTAACAGCCAGGGGATTGGGAAATTGCATAATCATCTGATCACAAACACTGCTAACACCTCTTAGTATGGCCAAGAACAACAAGCACCCATTTTGACACACACTGAGGATGCTGGCCGAGCCCTGAGTGACAGCCACAGTTGCTGGTTTGGTACGTACATTTCTGCTGGGATGTCATCATTGTCTGTGCTAAGCTTGACTTCTTTGTCATGTTTTCGACCTGCGTGGGAATGGAAATTTTCAAGTGGATGTTATTATCAAATTTACTTCTATTTCAATAAAGGAAAGATTATATACTTTCTTTCCTGAAATAAGTTATCTCTGACTCATAAGGTATATCTTATTTCAAAACATATCTAATCTGAGTATTATTCATCACATATAATGTACCTCAAAATGACACATAGGCTACAGAAAATAATCGGCAAGGGAAAATGTCACCAAAACTTTATAAACTTCTCTTACCAGCAGTAATGGGACCCATAGGTACAACTTGATTTTGAGATGTGTATCCTACGACAAGAGGAGGCTGTCTCATGAGCAACCTTGCCACACCTTCACACTCTCGCAGCACATCAACAGCCAATACCTGTGTGCGAGCTTCTGGTGCTAAGCCAGGGTATTTCTGAAGCCACTCAGCTAAGGCATGGAAATCTGAAACAGAACACATTGAATCCTATGTGTATTTCTTTTGCATTAAAAATTTGTTCCTAAAAACAGTTGAAGTTTTCTGATTCCCTAGTGTCACTGTTTTCCGTGTTTGTAAAACAATAATATTTGATGTAAATATATGTAACACAGCTATAAAGAAGAAATAAACTGAGTGATCACTGCATTTTATCATGAAAATAAAGAATGCAGTTATTTCATACACATCAAAGAGCAGAAAATGAAAAGAATTTGAACACTAAGAAAATAATGAACCAATTACCCCAAGTTTTTTATACATTATGGTCTACAAAATTTATTGCTAATAATATAATATATACCTTTTAAAAGTTGTTGAGCTCCCCATAGGGAAAATTTTATTTTTTGAACACGGATATGTTCCAGCCATGCATAGCAAACAACCTTCAAAACAGTGGCTCCCGCTCGACGTTGTAAAACCACTCCTAGCTTTGAAACAGCATCCAAAACTGGCTCTAACACAGCATCTGCAAATTAGACCTCTCTTTTAAATATTCACAATTCATTCCTCTTTTGAGTACATCATTTTTTAGATATATAATCTTTTTGTGATACAGCCACTTCACCAAAATCTCAATAAGGGCTTGTCTAAAGATTACAAATTTGCATTATAATTAATCAAATTCTGACACATTACTGCATTGTAATCACAATGTGGACCAGTCCCAAGCAAGTATACCAAAAGCATAAAACAAAAACCTACTGATATACTCATAAACATAGTAGTGTGGTTCATGTGGGATCCGGCCTATTCCTCGCCAGATACGAGGATGTGGCATAGAGTTCTGTAACTGGGCTAGGCTCACTGTGCGGCATACAGCACTAACAGCACCTACAGTCTCCTGTTCATAGTCCTGGGAAATGAATGCTTGGATTTCTCTCTCATTCTCAAAAATGTTGTAAAAAAAAAGTAGAGAAAATATGCTACACCCTCCTTTTTTACTATTAACAAGATCATCAAATCAAAGTTCAATGTTACTGATAAATGAAAGTTATATTGCTTTTTTCTTTAACAAAGGGTTGCTTACCTTCACAATTTCACTTCTTAATGTCATAATTTTAAACTGTCATACATGAATTTTAATGTCAGGCTGTACTGTACACTTTATGCATTTTGCAAAGACAAGTACTTGAGCAATTGTTCTAAGGAGAAATATGACCAAAATTTTTTTTGACTAAAGGATGCTGCAAAAAAAATAGCGAAAAAATACTCAATACGATGAAAATATCCCAAGACTACAGAATAATGTCAAAGATCAAATTTATATACCACATGTTCTTACCTTGACAGAGTCAACCAACTTTTCCAGCATCACAACAAGCTTGTCTCTTGACATGGCATACAAAAGACGTGCAAAATCATCTGTTTTAATGAGGTTGTCTCTCTCTTGTACCTATAAAGAAAGATGAAAAGAGATGAATTGAAGATGTTTCATTCCCTAATAATCTACAAAAGTAATTACTGTACTGTATGCTAAATCTCACAATGTAATCCAAAACAAGGTCTACTCTGAAAGACATAAGCCTTAGCAAATATATAAATAACAAGTATCTTTAACTACAGATAATAAAGTGAGTTGCTTTGATATAAATTACCCGAAGCAACTTCAGTTCCTCAATTATCCTAGGTAGGTCCGCTTGTGTAAGGAGGTAGTATGGCGCTGTGTTCCAAGTGTGCAGCAGGTAGCTTGCTCGAAGTCTAAGCCATGATAGAGTTGAAGATACGACTGCCCCAAGTCTAAGGATAAGGCCAACCTAAGGAATACAGAAAATATGAAGAGAAAATGAACTATGAAGAAAGGGAAAAGAATAAGAATTTAAAGGAGTATATCTATTATAGTCTCTATCTTTGATAATTAACTTCTATTAACTCACCAGTACTCTAATAACAAAAAAGCAACAAAACACATTACCTCATCTCCAACAGGCCAATCTTTGGGCTCTTTTTCAACTTCTGCTCTCTCAATCTCATTAATTTCCCACACTAATAGCTGTACCACATCACCAATGCCATCTCCTATGAAAGATATACCACACATTATACAAATACAATTGAACTTATCAAACACTTATCAAAGTTACTTCCTATCTTCTTTAATAATCCAAAATACTCTAATACAGCAATTCACAACATGAAACCTTACCACCTATAGTAGAATAATTTCCATCTAAAAGCTTATATGGCTCAGGAGATGATCGAGCATAAGTCCCAATACCACGGACCATATTCCGATCAATGAATGAAGTTGTTGCTAAATGCCGACATTCATCAACTATTCCCTCACAACTTGTGTAACAAGATTCTGGTATAAGGCCTGGAAAAAAATTTAATAAGTTGCTATAAGTTCTCTTCGAAAAAGCGAAACAAAGATTCAAATCATTTTTGGTTACAAACTACATAGTAGCTCATAAATCTATGGAAAGTTAACACTGTGTTCTAAAAGGATACTACAAATGGGGTATGTTACTTATCTACTACACATCCCTATATATTTGAATCAAAGATTTCCTACATGGATGTGTCTCACATTTTGCTTTGTTTTTTATACTGTACAGTTTATTACAAATAATACACAGTCAAATGATTTATGTAATTTTAGTAATTAAAACAATATGCTTCCTAACAGCTCCTATTTTTAGGTCCATATAATACTTAAAAATCTGAAAATGATGAACAAATCTGCTTCCTTGCCTAAAGTCATAAATGATAATAGTCTCTTCAAGAAATTAGCTTATGATAGTAGGATACTCATTTGCTGTTCTGTTGTGTACTAATGATATAATAAAATAGTACATTATGTGATACAATGCTAAATAAAATACTATATTTCATGCTATAATGGTAACAATGCCTAATGATGAAAAACAAATCTATATTATCATAAAATTGAAAGGACTGAAAAGAACAAGGTAAATATAAAATTACTTACATTTATTGCAGTATTGTTGGAAGATACCAAGTAATTGAAACAACTGAAGAGGTGTGAGCAAAGCTGGTGGAGGGAAGGGTGGAGGTCTTTCTGCTGGAGGGACCCATAAAACAAGTTCCTCCACAAATTCTGAACCTTCACCCCATACTCTCTCCACATAGTATGTCTCAATTCTATTTCTAGCAGCTTTAGTGAGACGTTTCTCTCCAGATTTGCTCTGCTTGACCATTCCTTTCACTGATAAAATTCAAGCAAGAAAATCAAGCATTACAAAAAACAAGAATTTACATGTAAAAAATATATATGAGCAAATTACTGGGCACCAATTTTGCTCTAACTTGCTTTACTCTGCAGTAACAGATAATAACAACATAAAAATGAAACAAATCATTACTTAAGATTGAACTAATGCCTTGGCTCACTCAGTCCACCTGTAAAATTGAAACAAATCATCACATAAGATAAAACTAATGACTTGACTCACCTAATACACCTGTAGTCTTGGTAAACTTGTCCACAAGTTGTTCTAATAATTCAGTGTTGGTTTTTATAAGTGTATTCACTTTTGTACAGTTCAAAGGAGTATTGCAATCTCCAGCATCGTTTGCAGGCAGATAATCTGTTCCAGGAAAGTCATCTCCAAACTCCATTCGAAGAGCCATATCAAGTTTCCGCTGATTTAGCTTATTCTCGTCTTCTTCCTTGGCTATGGCATCTTCAAATATATCACCATTCAGCAAACCTGATTTTGCACTATAACTTATAGGTTTCCAGGGTAACATTGTTCCATTTTCAGGAGGCATCTTAAACTCTTTCATAAAAGTATCTGCTATGCACTTAGTGACTTGTGGTGCTCTCTCTCGGCCAACTATCTGTAGTATCTTAGAAGCTGTGATTTGTTTCAAGCACGATAATGGAGGAATTAAATTTTCAGGCATTACTAGTCTATAAAGTGTAGCATCATTTTCTTCTTCATCTTCATCTTCATATTCATCTTCCTCTTTTTCTGGAATGTTTCTCTTGAGTTCAATTAGGATTTCATTATATGCAGCTATTGTATTAAAGATTCCAGCATCCTCTAGATTTTCTGAATTTTCATTAAAATTTCCTGCTATGATTTTCAACTGAGCCTTTATCATACTTTCTACAGAATAGAGTATCGTATCTCGTTGCACACACACCTGAGAATGTTTTTCTACGACTCTATTAAACTGAATTTCACAATATTTACTACTGTTTTTTGATAACTCTTTGAACTGCTTTTCCATTTCCAGAAAATTTGCTGCATAATCCTGCAGGCCAATAACCACTTTCTTAAAAGCTGTTTCATGCCTAGTTAAAAATTTTGATCTTAATTCTGAAGTATTTTCTTCTCCTTTGAGCTGTGCATGTTCAGCTCTCACTCCATGGTGTATTCTCCGAATTGCCTTTACCAAGATACGCGTCACCTTGTGGAAGTGTCCCCATTCTGTGCAGAACTTCTTGCACTCAGCATTCGCATCTTCCATCATCCTTCCTGGCTTTCTTATCTTTCTCTATTGAGTAAAGAGATTTTGTTAAATTCTGTCAGTACATAAATATAGTCAGAGGGAATATCTTGATGTCAGTAACATTATTTTGTTAAACATATGTCAAAAACATTGTACTGATTTTTTCAGTAATATCTAATAACTATAATCTGTAGTAATTCATTTGAGGGCCTATGAAACATACATTGTATGATTCGTACATACAGTGAAAAGAGTTTATATGTCTCTATTTGTAATAGCTTTAGTTAAACATTTCTTTTCAGATATGCTCTGCTTGATTTTGTTGAATATTATGAATTCATAATATTCAAGATTATCCATAAGGATATATATCATTTTGTAATCATCAATCTGAAAGCACATCAGAAAGTGAGCAGTTTGGATTTGGTGATAAATTAGACACTAACCCTCACATTGTTTGTTGACACAGTGTATAAATATGGGATTGAATGTTCATTTAAATAGGCTGCCAGTCAACAGTCCATATGCATTAGCATTTTGTAATAATAAAGCTGTTTCTTATAGCAGTACAAGTTGAATAATACTGAGAAATAAAAATCAGACACCTTGCCATGCACTAGTATACACTGCTGTTACCACAGACTGCAGTCCATGGTAGTGCTACCTTGAGCCTGCCATTCCTAACTTTTGACTGGCCGGAAAACGTACCAAATCGGAGGTGTTCCCAGTGACGGGAGTAAGGCATGATATTTCCTGAACGATGGGTTTGACATAACTTACAGGCAAAGCTAAGAAACAAACCTTTGGCTGTTAAACATGTTTTTTTAACTGTCTGTGATCAGTCTGTGTTGTCGCCCCATTGTTGTTTACATAGCAGAAGCCACGACGGTTACCATGGCAACGGTACGTTTGAAATTAAAAGTAGATAGATATAGCATCGTCATATATTTAAGAACCTTCTTGTGATAGGGTACACTGAAAGGAAATTTATTGTTTGTTTTTTATAAAAATAAAAATACATTCTCATGTAGATATTTGGCGATCAATTCCTCGGCTTCTTATTTTTCATTTACTTTCGAATTTGTCAGACTTTGGCCTCATAAAAATACGCCAAGTATGAGTAATGGCTAAACGATTTCATTTGTTTCGTGAAACATAAATTCACGTTTATTGTATTTCTAATATTTTGCTAGAAAACATGAATCTTCCCTTCTATTTTGCTTGATTAACCCTGCCGTACGTTTAGAGAGCATCAGCTGTGCGAAAAAAGACACGCATATGAAACATGAATTACGTAAGATATTGCACGAGATACGAACGAATCGCCCAAAATCAATCTTTCTGCAAATAAGTTCATTTTAATCATGTAATTGATAAGGTACTCAACTATTCATAGCGGCTGGCAATTTCCATGTTCATTTAAGGATAACCTCTTCACGCTCATAATCGTGATGACCTTTTATTGAATCAAATTTAGTGGTCTAATCGTGTAGGCTTGAAGCCGAGGAACGTATATATTGGCAAGGACGGAATGCATAAGAACAGGTGCGTGCACAACCAGGAATTCGATCTGCGATAACGCCGAATGTCGTATAAAATTTACGATAAAAACAACAACAAAAAACATTAGCTATTTACGCCTCTCAATCATATTTCCTGACAGGTCCCTCAAGAAGCGTGACCGTCTACTTAAGTATTCATATCGATATCTATTTATGAATATCTGTTTCCGCTCTTGTGATAAACGCTTACAGACAGGCAGGTGGACAAGTATCTTTCAGTTATTATCTTTGCCATGATATGTATGTGTGAAACGTCATGTGTATATGGGACGACGAATTAATACATACACAAATGTCTCTCTCTCTCTCTTCTCTCTCTCTCTCTTCTCTCTTCTCTCTCTCTCTCTCTCTCTCTCTCTCTCTCTCTCTCTCTCTCTCTCTCTCTCTCTCTTCTCTCTCTCTCTCTCTCTCTCTCTCTCTCTATCCTTCCTCCCTCCCTCCTCCTCCCTCTCTCCTTTCCTCTCACTTTCTCCTTTCTCCTCCCACCCTTCCTCTCTCTCTCTCTTTCTATTCGTCTCAAGTTAAAGACAACTAGTGTAAAAACCCGACAAAATGCCTCTCCTATACTTTATCCCTTGCTTCTTAATATTTCTTTTCCAATCTGTTTCTTAAAACAATTTTCTGGGGTGATTTTCCCTTATCTCTGACTCCTACGCGCTAGCTCAGACGGCGTGGCGCTGGACAACCCTCGCCCGGCCCCTCGTTGCCCGCAAATCAACAACATCCATCATTGATTGTTTCCCTCCTGCCGTCGCGCATTCCTCGTCAGCTTTTGAGAAATTTCTGTTCCCGAGGCAGCAAATGGGCTTGTCTTTTCACTGAAGATTGGTTGGAGTTTTATGTAATAGTATCAGTATTTAGGTTGACCTTTTCGTGTTATCTGAGTCTGATAAAGAAATTTAATTCTGGCTTTCTGAGCGAGGTTATGGCGTTGTCGGTTCAAGGCCGAGTAGAGATGTGATGCATGATAAGATTATAACTGAACAAAGTACATGAATAGGCGTAGGAAGGTATATTGAAGTTTGGGGGAGGGGAGCCGGGACGGAGACTCCTGGATTTTAGCAGATATGAACTCATTAATTTTTGCATTAATAACCAGTCGCAAGAGGTCGGTGTTCTCAACAGCTGGGTAGCTAAGAGGGTTAGAAGTTGGGTGCCGCTCCCTCCATTTTAGAGTGCGGGGACCCCCCCCCCTTTCCTGCACCTGTGACATATACACGCAGACACACTAATATATATATAATATTATATATATATATATATATATATATATATTATATATATATATGTATATATATATATATATATATATATATATGTGTGTGTGTGTGTGTGTGTGTGTGTGTGTGTGTGTGTGTGTGTGTGTGGTGTGTGTGTGTGTATGTATATAATATATATATATATATATACATATATATATATATATATATTATATATATATATATATATATATATGCGTATGTGTGCGTGTACATAATATATATATATATAATATATATTATATATAATATATATTATAATATATATACATATACATACATTAATATTCATATACAATATATGTATATAATTATAAATATATATATATTATATATATATATATATATAATATATATATATATATATATATATGTATATACATATATATGTGTGTGTGTGTGTGTGTGCATGTACGTATACAGAAATATATTTATCAATGCAATCATATGATGATACATATGAAATAATATTAGTATCGACCCAGGGCGCCTGGACGCGTTTCATTAATCACTGGAAGGCCGATCAGCTGATGGACGTCCTCCGCTCTCCTTCCCTTCGCCCGCGTAGCCAGCGAGAGTAAAGGCGAATCTCCGGAAGATTATCGCGTGTCTTTTCACCTATTATTTTCCATTACCATATTTCTTCGTTGTCTTTTCACCTCTTCTTTTTCTTCACTATCTTTCTTGTTTTCTTAGGCTTTGTCCTTTTTTTAGAGAATAAAGAACACGGGAAAAAAACAAGCTAATTGACTCAGGAAAAATATAAACATGTATGTATGGAGTCATATGAACATACATACACGTACATACATAAAAAGCAACAGTGAAAAACCAGGTGAAAAATTGAAAAAGTGAAAACATGAAAAACGTAAAAGAATTTAACCCACGAGATCACCCATACCCCAGTGAACAACGCCGTAAAAAAAAGGTATAAATGAGAACAAATAACTTTAATCACCGATGTTATACCTTCATCAGAATTACATGATATTAGACCGAAAGACACGCTCCCCCCCGTTATAAAGGTATCCCTGCCGTATATAAACCCATAAAACGACCTTTTCCGTTGAACAGATACCTTTCGTCTCGTAAGGGAGTCTGGTGAGTCGCCATATCTCTCTTCTCGCTACCGTCGTGTTTGTGTGTTTTGAAAGTATTATTGTTAATTAGGGTGATATTCGATAAATAGCGGTTGGATTTATGGTTATGGTAATGAGAATGGCAATAATGATGCGAAGGAATAGAGAAATGATGAATGATGACTTATTGCTATTATTATTATCATTGCAATGACGATGGTGATAGCACTAATAATAATATTGATAATGATGGCAATGATAATAATAATAATAAAAACAATTACAACGATAATAATGATAATAATTAATTAGTAATGAAATAATAATAATGATAATGATAATAGCAATAATGACAATAATAATAGTAATAAAAAATGATAATAACAATAAATAATAATGATAATGATAATAATATAATAATAATAATATAATAATAATAATAATAGTAAAAATAACAAGTAGTAGTGATAATACTGACAATGATACTAATACCAATACTAATAAAAAACAATGATAACGATGATAGTAATAGTGTTAATAATGTCAATAATAGTAATGATAGTATTAACTTAATGGAAATTATGATAATAATAATAATAAGAATAATAACATAATATAATTGTTATCATCAATATCATAAACAATCATATAAAAAAATAGTAATATAATAACAAAAATTATATAATAATGATAAAAAATAATACTAATATCAATTATGATAATAATGACAGTAATGATAAATTTATCAATGATGAAGATGATAATAACAATAGTAATGATAATAAAGATAATAATAACACTAATGATAAAGATACGATGATGATAACAATAGTAATTAATAAATAATAATAATATTCATCCATGACAGTATCTCCTATAAGAATAATAAAGATATGGAAAATAATGATAATGCCAATAATGATGAAAATATCGATGATAACAACGATAATAACAAGAATAACTGTTAAGAATTCTTCTACTCATCAGTCACAGCTGCAACACGGTAAGTGATTGTCTGAACTGTTTCATTCATTTGGTTCATTGGTTCAAAGTCGGTACACTTCCTTTTTCGTCGGGAAAGACTAGATCATTAGCAACTCGAGGAGGTGTCATGGCGTCTGATTCTATTTTTGGAAAAAAGCACATGGGGTTTATTTTGATGACGTCACAAAAGTTACGGATGCTTTGTGAATATGGTCGATCATTTTCGGTCTTTTCAAATTTCGAAAGGGATGGAAAAGAATTATTTTAATGGTTATATTTTCACGTAATGAGTAAAGTGATTGTATTGAAAATGAACCACGAAGAGAATCTGGGTGTTCATACAACAAGGAAAACCATTGCGTTAAGGCTTTAGTACTTTAAATTTCAGGTCTCTTCGATGTTCCTATTCTATTGATTTTAGTCGTTAGAAGTGGAGTAAACGTTGGTAATAGGAACTTGAACATTAACAAACCTTAATTACCGATATCTTTTGCATGCACTGATTTAACAATACGAATAGGTATTAATGCAAAGAGAACACGAAACCCCGATATTTCAGTATCCAGAAGATTCCATATTCTATTCGCTTCACCATCTTTCTGCGATCAAGAGTTGAAGTTACGTGGTCGACGTTTGCGGAGCGCGTTGTGAATCGCAAAAGAGCTCTTCGTCCTCACTACGTTTCAGGTTACCAATAAAGCAAGAATCTCGCTGGAATTGAGCCTGTTACTGATTCTGTGAGCTGTTGGATGGAAACGCTTTCTCTGCAGATTGTGCAAACTGGCAACTCGGCCTTGGTGGTCAATTTGTGGAAGCGCCTACATTGTTATATCCAAGGTCTATATAAGTACTTAAATAGACCTTGTTTATATCCCCGATGACCAATCAGAGAGAAGCGGACAGAGTAGTGTAAATCTGCCTTAAACTCATATGTGTACATGTGCGTATTGATTCGCACATCGTCATCATTATTATTATCATTACCATTGCAAC